ACGTGTTGCGGTTGGGGAACAAGCCACCCTGCCGTTACTGGGCAGATTTTGTGAGGAACCCAAGCCTTTAAGTGGTTAAAATTGGGTTGCTGGGGAGTTTTGATTGTTGCCAATTTGGAGGAGGGGTCAGAGTCTTTAAATACAGGGGCCAGACGTTGGACGTCCTCTTGGCCATTTTGCACCGGATCACATGGAGCGCTTGGACAATCTTCTCATTGTCTGGTTACATTTCTTTATTTCTTTATTTCCCCTTTCTTTTAATCCTCTCTAGTCCCTTAAATAATTTAATTCCCCCCTTTTCCTGTTCGATTTCCCACCCCACCCCTTACCCTGCCCTGTGGGAAGATTCTCCCTGTAACTGTGGCTTGCCTTTCCCAATACGGAGAGAGCCCCCGTTAGGGGCTTTCTTTCGCAAAAAGGTTTGCCCCATTTCTCTTGTTGAAATTGTGGGGCTAGTCAGGGCTGTTCCCAGCTTAGCTGGAATCACTTTCGTTTATAGTATCCCCGAAGGTTGGCTTTATTTTGAGTGTGTGCAGTGCTGTTGGCCAAATTTTAAGCTAGCCTTGGGTGGGAGCACTAATTTGAGTTCCTTTAATATTGCTATGAGACTAAGATTCTCAAGAGCAGAAGCAGGGAGGCCTATTCGGCCTGCACATAACTTCCAAGCCTAAGTCTGCTACAGGTAGCAGTTAATTGTTAAGTCTCTGACACGTGACTCATTCTCGCTATAGGAATGTATCTGCTTGCAGGCCCAGTTGCTGCTAATGTATATCTGAGGCAGACAGAGGGCCCCAGAGGCTCCCTGTGCCTCCAAGGACTATGAGCACTCTGTATATGCTCTTGAACTATGCTGTTTCTGAACAAGTTTATTTTCTTTAAGTTTGTTTTGCCCTGATAGTGGCGACTGCCATTTTAGAGATGAGCCATTGTGGCTTAGTGGCTAAAGTGTAGGACTAGGACCTGGGAGACAGGGTTCATATCCCCCTCTTAGCCATTGTTATAACAAAACAAAACAAACTGCTCCTTTTGGGCTATTCTGTTGCTGGGTAGTTAGGCCCATTTGTGATAAAAGAACTTTGGGTTTCTTGAAGGGGTGCTTCCCTCTAAAAGGGCAAGCAGGGGTACCTGGACAAGCTGTGGGCTACCTCAACTCTGCTATTTCACTGGAAACATTTATGCCTGGCCTAGCAGGTGATCCTAGGGCTTTGCCCTAGAATTCAATGGCCTGGAAGCGTTTCCGGCCTGAATAGTGTCCCCATGTGGTCCATGAAGCATTGGTTTCACTGGGTCAGCGCATAGTGCTGGTAATGCCTGGGTTGCAGGATTGGTCCCTGTATGGGACAGCTGCATGCTCCCCCATTGCTCTACCTGGACACTTAAGTCCTTTCGGTGGTTACCTCACTGCGAGGGATGTAACGGGCGCCACGTTTGCAATATGCAAGCGGGAGAAAGCACCTTTGCGTGCCCGCATTGCAGTTTGTGTGTTGCAGGGCACGGCGCTGCACGGGCTGCAATTGCATTGCATTGCATGAGAGATTTGCAGTTGCATTGCACGGAGCGTGTGTGCATTGCATGGAGGGTGTGTGTGCATTGCACGGAGGGTGTAGTTGCATTGCACGGAGTGTGTTGTTGCATTGTACGGAAGGTGTGGTTGCATTGCACGGAGTGTGTGTGCATTGCACGGAGTGTGTAGTTGCATTGCACGGAGTGTGTGTGTATGCATTGCATGGAGGGTGTAGTTGCATTGCACAGAGTGTTTTTTGCATTGCACGGAGTGTGTGTGCATTGAACGGAGGTGTTGTTGCATTGAACGGAGGGTGTGCAGTGCACGGAGTGTGTAGTTGCATTGCACGGAGTGTGTAGTTGCATTGCATGGAGTGTAGTTGCATTGCATGGAGTGTAGTTGCATTGCAGGGAGTGTGTTTTGCATTGAACGGAGTGTGTAGTTGCATTGCACGGAGGGTTTGTGTGTGCATTGCACGGAGTGTGTAGTTGCATTGCACGGAGGGTTTGTGTGTGCATTGCACGGAGTGTGTAGTTGCATTGCACGGAGTGTGTAGTTGCATTGCACGGAGTGTGTAGTTGCATTGCATGGAGTGTGTGTGCACTGCATGGAGTGTGTTTTTGCATTGCACAGAGTGTGTGTCTGAAAAGGAAGCTGGCTCGGCGGCAGCTTTGTCGGGACTTCTTTAAGGGTTCTGGCCAGCCTCGGCCCTGTAAATTTACATATCATGATGGCAGCACAAGATGCCCCCTGCCCAAGCGGGGGCTGGAAGCTGGCAAGCAATAGCTCAATACCTTTTGCCCATATTCCCATTTTATTTAGGGATCCAGTTGGATATCGTTGCTAAAACATACCACTTGCCTATGGAGAAGCTGTCTGCCTTGAAGGAAGTTATTTTGTAATACTTCCTCTGTAGCAAGTGATGCTTCATCAGATCCGATCTTGCTGGGTCTCTTAATTAATCTTCCCACTAGGCCAGGCTGCCTGCGGCCTGAGGTCCCCTTACCTTTGTGTACGCCTACCAAGTGTGGTGAAGGCAGATATCAGGCGATGGTAGCAATTCCTGAATGTATGCAATAGTAGAATCATAGAATCATAGAATCACAGAGTTGGAAGAGACCACAAGGGCCATCGAGTCCAACCCCCTGCCAAGCAGGAAACACCATCAGAGCACTCCTGACATATGGTTGTCAAGCCTCTGCTTAAAGACCTCCAAAGAAGGAGACTCCACCACACTCCTTGGCAGCAAATTCCACTGTCGAACAGCTCTTACTGTCAGGAAGTTCTTCCTAATGTTTAGGTGGAATCTTCTTTCTTGTAGTTTGGATCCATTGCTCCGTGTCCGCTTCTCTGGAGTTCGCCATGGCAGGATACCTTGAACCCGCACAGGGATTTTCAGGTTCATGCTGGTGCTGCTGGATCTTTGCCCTTTGGTTTTTATTTCAAGGGATGCTGGTGTGCAAAGCTATGGCCTCAAGCCCGGTGTGGTGAGGCAATCATGTGACATAACTTTTCTTGAGTTTTCCCCATTGTAGTAGCAGTTCACATGTGGCCCGAGGAGTTCAGTGACCATTGGATCTGCTTTTGGTCTGATAACCAGGTAGTGGTGAGCGTCTTAGCAAAACAGTCCTCACGCTCTAGCACAGTCTCCGCCCCTCCGTTCATGCTTTCGAGCTGCGCCGCTTAAGGTTTAATATTGTGCTTTCTACTCTCCAAATTACAGGATCCTCTAATGATGTCGCTGACACTCTATCCCATTTTCAGATGAAGTGCTTCAGATCCTGGGCTCCAGACTCAGCTATTGCCAGACTTTTCCAGACCACCTGTGGCATTTTGACAACAATTAGTAATTACAGAGAGCAGCAGCTTCCATTTCCCCTTCTGCTTTTAGCTCTTATGAGAAGGCCTGGATGGATTTCTTAGCCTTAAGCTGGCAGTCCTCGGCCATTCAGATGAACTGGCCCCCATCCTCTGAGCAGATCCGCAGTATTTGGTCCACCTGCTGCAGATTGGGCGTGCGTTATAACTATCAGAATTCAGTCCGCTGCAATGTCTGTTACACTGAAGCTTTATTTTTCAGAGACCCTTGTATAAAGTTTGTAGTGCGCATGGCCTTGGAAGGTTGGAATAGGCTCCAACCTCATAGGACAGTGGGCAGGAAGCCGGTCAATTTTTACCTATGCAGTATCTGCAACAAGTTAAAACTTGTCTGCTGGTTAAAGATCAAGGCGAGACTCCTTTCAGTAGTCCATTGCATTTTCGCACTGAGGCTTGGGAAAATGGTTGTTGGAGCCAGCATGGGGCTGAGAGTCTGGAGGCTTATTGCTTCAGGACTTTTCCTTATCCTTTGGAGCTTGTCATTAGAGTTGGGAACTCTAAAACAGACTTAGTGGGCAGGAGTGCCACAATCAGGCTTCCCGCCACAGGTGAGGAGGGCCCTTGCCCGGTTATGGATAACAGAATATTTGGCTTTTCATTCCCTGGGGGCTGGCCCGCTCCTAGTGCATGAAAATGGGTTCCCGTTAGCCAGGCATCAATGTGCTTACGTCGTGCACCAGTTATTACGGCCTGCGGCTTGCTTACCGCTGAACACGCCTCATTCCTTACGATTGGGTGCTGCTGCAAAGGCTGCACACTGGGGGCCTGTCAGTAGACAGGATTGTGAATACGGGTCATTGGAAGTCTGACGCTGACAAGGGTTA